GAGCCGGGGAACTTCAGTGGGGGGGAGGGCTACGGTCGGGAATGTTTGGATAGCGTGTCGCTCCGCTTGTTCTGGCCCACCACGCTTCGGAACGACACGCCATCCACATCCCAGCACCCGAGCGTCAAAGTCCCGAGCTTTGCCGCACCTCCCGCCCCGCGGGGCGCAGCGACACGCGATCCGCCTACGGGGCACAGCGTCTCGCCGTGGCCGCCGCCGCCACACGCTCAGCAAAAGTTCCCGACCACAGCCGAGGAAGCCTGGAGGGGTTGGGGTTGGGGGGGAGCACCGGTGTGAGCGGACAAAAAACGACTCGGGTGAGCTGGCCCGCAGGCGCTCTTCACGGTGCACCCACAGCTGAAGCCGAAGCCACAGCTGAGGTGCACAGAGACATGGAAAAGGCCCTTCCAATCTGGCTCTGCACGCCGCCAGGCTTGGACGCGTCGGCCACCGCCACTGTCGCTGCCGCCGTCACCCGGGGTAGGTGGTCCTGACGAGGGGGTGGCGGCGGCAGTGGCAGTGCCAAAACGCGCCCAGAATCCAGCCAGGAGGGCGGGGAAGAGGAAGGGGAGGAGGAGGAGGAGGAGGAGGAGAAAGAGAAAGAGAAAGAGAAAGAAAAGAGAAAGAGAAAGAGAAAGAGGAAGAGGAAGAGGAAGAGGAGGAGGAGGAGCAAAAGGGAGGGAGGAGGAGGGGAGAGGAGAGGAGGAGGAGGAGGAGGAGGAGGAGGAGGAGAGGAGAAAGGAGAAAGGAGGAGGAGGAGGAGGAAAAAAGGAGGAGGGGATGAGGACGGGGGGGGAAGGAAGAAGAGGAAGGGGGGGAACGCGAAGGTCGCCGCGCGCGGCCGTTTCCGGCCAGAACCGCCCGTCTCGCCACCCGCGGCTGCACGGGCGCGGGCCCAGTGCCGCGGGGCGCTCGGGAAGCCGGCCTCACGGCAAGAGGCGGGGAGATTTTGCGCAGCCTGGAGGTCACCTCCTCTTCCTCCTCCCTCCTCATCCTTCTTCCTCCTCCTCCTCCTCCTCCTCCTCTCCTTCCTCCTCCTCCTCCTCCTCCTCCTCCTCCCTCCTCCTCCTCCTCTCCCTCCTCCCTCGCCTCCCTCCTTTCTCCTCCTCCATCCTTCTCCACCTCCTCCTCCTCCTCCTCCTTCCTCCCTCTCCTCCTCCTCCTCCTCCTCCTCCTCCTCCTCCTCCTCCTCCCTCCTCCTCCTCCCTCCTCCTCCTCCTCCTCCTCCTCCTCCTCCTCTTCCTCCTCCCTCCTCCTCCTCCTCCTCCTCCTCCTCCTCCTCCTCAGACCCTCAGGTCTTGGCGTTGCGATTTTTTCGCGCAGGGCTTCTCGCTCCCTGTCGGGCCCCCGGGACCCTCCCAGATCGATCCGGCTCGACCCTCACAGATGTTGCAAGTTGTCCCAGCCGTCTTGCGGTGTTGGGCCCTCGTTTTGGAAACCCGCCTCCTTCATTCCGTCTCCTCCCTCCTCACATCCCTGCCTCTGCTTTCTCGCATGCCCATGTCAGCACACCCATCACACGGTTCGTGGCGGGACATCCACCAAAGGCCCCAGCGGCAGCGCCCGCATGCGCCCATCCCGCCCACCGCATGCCCATGTCAGCACACCCATCACACGGTTCGTGGCCCCATACGGAGCTCCACCGAAGGCCCCAGAGGTAGCGTCCGCATGCGCCCACCCCGCTCACCGCATATCCATTTCGGCACACCCCTCACACGATTCGTGGCCCCATAGGGAGATCCACCGAGGGCCCTAGAGGCAGCGTTTGCATGCGCCCACCCCGCTCACCGCATGGCCATTTCGGCTCACCCCTCCTCACACGGTTCGTGGCCCCATAGGGAGATCCACCGAAGGCCCTAGAGGCAGCGTCCACATGCGCCCACCCCGCCCACCGCATGCTCATTTCGGCTCACCCCTCACACGGTTCGTGGCCCCATAGGGAGTTCCACCGAAGGCCACAGAGGCAGCGTCCGCATGCGCCCACCTCGCCCACCGCATGCACATTTCGGCTCACCCCTCACACGGTTCGTGGCCCCATACGGAGTTCCACCGAATGCCCCAGTGGCAGCGCCCGCATGCGCCCACCCCGCCCACCGCATGACCAATTCGGCACACCCCTCAGACGGTTCGTGGCCCCATAGGGAGATCCACCGAAGGCCCCAGTGGCAGCGCCCGCATGCGCCCACCCCGCCCACCGCATGCACATTTCGGCTCACCCCTCACACGGTTCGTGGCCCCATACGGAGCTCCACCGAAGGCCCCAGAGGCAGCGTCCGCATGCGCCCACCCCGCCCACCGCACATCCATTTCGGCTCACCCCTCACCCAGCTCGTGGCCCCGTAGGGAGCTTCACCGAAGGCCCCCGTGGCAGGGTTCGCGCGCAGCTCCCCGCGCATGTCCATTCCGTCACACCATCACCGGCACACCCTTCACACGCCTCCGTGGCGCCGCAGGAATCCCCACCGCAGGCCTTCGTGGCAGGGTCCGCATGCTCCCCGCCCACCGCATGTCGCTTTCGGCACACCTCTCACACGTTTCGTGGCCCCGTAGGGAGCTCCCCCGATGGCCCTAGTGGCAGGGTTCGCATGCTGCTCCCCGCCCCACCGCATGTCCATTTTGGCACACCGCTCACACGGTTCGTAGCCCCGGAGGGAGCTCCACCGAAGGCCCCAGAGGCAGGGTTTGCGCGCGGCCCCCCGCCCACACTATGTCCGTTCTGTCACACTTCCCACAAGCTTCGTGGCCACATAGGCAGCACCACCGAAGGCCCCTGTGGCAGGGTTCGCATGCGGCCCCGCTCACCGCATGTCCACTCTAGCATACCCATCACACGGTTCGTGGCCCCATAGGGAGATCCACCGGAGGCCCCAGTGGCAGGGTTCGCACGTGTCCCCCCGTCCGCCGCATGTCCATTTCGTCACGCCCCTCACACGGTTCGTGGCACCATAGGGGCTCCCCTTTCTTCGTCTCATTTGTCTCGCTGTACTCACACCTGCATATGTTTGGGTTCGTCGCCAGGATACGTTTTACAACGTCGGATCTCAGGGGAGGAGGGGGGAGATTGCGCAACCGGGAGATCGCTGCAAGAGGAGCACCCTGCACTGGAAGAGCCCCTTCCCCCAACGGAATGGGGAATGCGAGCGCGTGTCGAGAGGTGCGAGGAGAGAGGAGGGGGAAGAGGGGGAGGGGGAGCAGGCGGAGAAGGAGGAGGAGGAAGAGGAGGAGCAAGACGCTCTGGTTCGTGCCAGGCCAAGTCCGAGCAACGTATAAACGGAGGTGGAGGAGCGGACTGGGGGAGGCAGGCGAGCCGAGCGCCGCTCTCGGGCCGCAGACCAGAACAATTTCTGAGGCACCGGAGGGAGCTTTCCGACTCCCGAGTCGGCCACCCTTGGCCACCGTGGAAGAGCAGATAAGAAATTTCTCCTTCCGGGCCAGGCCCTGTCGCGTTCTGTATGATTCAACCGAAGAGGAGGAGGAGGAGGAGGAGGAGGAGGAGGAGGAGAAGCACGACGACGTTGGCGACAGCAAAAGCGAGGACGACAGTCGATCGAAGTAGGACAGTCAAGGTGGACGCGACGATGCAGTTGTGGAAGATCGGGCTGGCGTTCGGTCCCGCGCGGTAGAGAGCTAGGGAAAATTGTTTACTGAATAGTTGCATGCAGCAGGATTTGAAAGGGTTGTTTCATTGCATGTTCATGAACGCCGTTCTCCCCGTGTTTGGAAAATCACAACAACAAAAAAACATTCGGCCACGATTGCGGCTCCCAATTGGAATTTGCTAGCGCCTCTCTGCAGCCGCACTGGCGCGCGCACGCTCGCGCGCAGATCGACTCGCTGGTTTGGCATAGTTGATGTGGCTGCGACGGCGCTTACCGATGGAAACTTCCCAGCGCGTATGAAAGGCTGCTCCGGCACTTCAGTGCGGACCGGTCACTCGGGCGGGCGCGATATCATGTTGATATCGACACCGGCGGCAACGACGATGATGATCGCGATGGTGGTGGCGATGTTGACGACGACGACGACGACGACGACGACGACGACGACGACGACGACAAGGCCAATGGTGGCGCCGATGTTGGTGATGACGATGACGATGATAATGTCAGATGCCGGCGATGAAGGTGATTGCGACGATGATGGTGGCAATGGCGGCGGTTGGCGATGACGGTAACGGCGTTTACGCGAGGGCGCCGGTGAGGGCGATGAGGAAGTGCGCGCGCAGAAGTTCAAGACACCGTGCAGGCTTTTGGTCTTAAAAGTCGTAGCTGCTCATATGTTTCTGAAGAGCTGCAGTTGTGATTTCTTCGGACACCCATAACTTCCAAAGGAGTTTGACGCGCGCGTGGCGGCGCGCACATGTGGCCCGCGTTATATTGTTTGACATTGGTTCGCGCACTTGGCGAATGCTAGATAAACGCGAATGCACCGCGTGGTGAGATGAGAATGCGGCTTCTGGACGGGCATGCTCAAACCCGATGGTTGTCCTATGATTTCGGCAAGCAGGCGCGCGAGCAGAAGATCTGCAACATTATCGAACCAGCAAAGAGTATGATTGGATTTTGAGTGTGCTCTTGCCGAAGTTCTCTGTTCGGATTTGATCTCGACAGGTGCGCGCGCGCGTGTGGACTTTGCAGCTCTTTGTGCCGTGACAGACGCGCACTCCGGCCGAGGGACAAAGGGGAGCAGGAGACCTCCCCGAACCTCTGGGCTCCGGAGCGCCGCGCGCGAGGTGGCCCGAGCCGTCTCGCCCGAGACACCCTCACTATTGCTACGCTCCGAGCTGCCGCGCGCGAGGTTTGTTCGGGCCCGTTTCGCCCGAGGCAGCCTCGCAATTCTGAGCTCCGAGCTGCCGCGCGCGAGGTTAATTCGGGCGCGTTTCGCCCGAGCCAGCCTCGCAACGCTGAGCTCTGAGAAAATGTGCGCAAGGATATGAGGCCCGTTTCGCTTGAGATCTCCTTGCACATCGGGGTTCCAAGATATTGTCGGCGAGGTGGTCT